CAATCCAGACCAGACAACATTGTTTTCTCCAGTCAGTGGAAATTTCATTACCTTACAGCAACCGCCTTAGAATTGGGTAATAGCCTCTTTTTGTCACAGACACAAACCGTCTGTGGGAGGTGCGACACCCCATAAGTGTTATCCATTTGCAACAATATGCATCTAGGCGGTAACAGTCTGGATGCTGGTCAGCATAATGTGCACCGTTATTCAGTGATATGGAGGAACTGAATGGAGAGAATAGCGGTCAATAGCTAATTCCTGGATTGGCTGTAGTGTATAATCAAAAGCATTGAACTTTAATACATCCAGGCAGCTGACGTATCACTCCTCAGGCTATTATAGACAGATGACGCAGGTCACATCTCTCGCATTGTCAATAAATAGAGAGAGGGGAAGTTTTCCTGTGGAGACACTGAACAGTGAAGAAACCCCAATTAAAGCTTCTGGAAAAGTTTCTCACATTTAGGTCATACAGGATAGCCATTTGTAAGTGTCAATCAATTCGCCTGCTTTTTACCCACTGTTCCTTCTACCAGGTAATCAAACAGCAGAAATGTAAAGTGGTGGCCACTGTCAACAGGGAATAAATTACCAGAGCATGAACAGAAAACACCTTATCTGTCTGATGTATTTCCTGCTTCTGCAGAAAGCTACAAAGCCTGAGGGAAAGCAGTCAACCAAAATGCAGGGAGATGGAGATTAGGATGATGTGCAGTTCCTTGTTCCATTAAAGTTTGATCTTCCTCAATAGCCGAGGAGAATCAGATATCTCCCATTCAAGATTAAAGTACACCAGCATAGAGGGAGAGATTAATCAGAGGCCTGCATGAGATAAAAAACAGCCTTGCTTCTGGCATGGAAAACAGTGGCAATAAAGAGTTCAGCTGATAATGTGAAACATGGTGAGGCACAATAGCAAATCAAACAGCATGTACGGGCCTCCAAAACAAATCAAAGCGCCGACTAGACTGCGATACAGTGGCTGAAGAAGTACAGCAGGGGCTGATCTGATAGTAACCAAGGCCTTCATTTTATTACTGGTTAAGGTTGAGGAGGGCACACCGAGGATTTTCCCATGTTGCTCACTGTCGCCAGGCTCTCATTCCCTCTCCTCCTCCTCTCCTTGAGATCAATGGCGCTGGGGTGATTTCACAGCAGCCTGCACTGTCACCCAGAACAAATCAATGTGACCATGAGGAAGGCAAGAGCGGCATTGTTTTTAAGGAGAGCAAATTCGCTGTTGGAGAGCTTGTCAGATTTGCTTTATTCTCTTTCTTCCCCCAAGAACACTTTGGAAGGAGCATGCCTCCCCTCACTTTTCTGGCTGGGTTATGGAGCAAACTATAAACTCTGCACAGCACTCAGCCCTTCTTTACTAGTGTACTCATTAACTGCATATAAACTGCACAGTTCCTGTTGACCATATTTCACATGACCAAGAGCATTTTTAAACAAAAAAAATGGACTAACCAGCCTGACCTTTCCAAATTAAAAGGCTATACATTAACCCTGTGGCCCGGTGAGACGTGACTTCCACTCAGTCTGACAGTGGGTGAGAGGGGAAGAGAGGGAGGAGGTCGGAGGATCATCGCTGTCCGTCATGCGTTAAGTGGCTGCAGATAACTCTGATGAATAGCTGCCAGCGTCTACCATCGCAGCAGGTCAGATCACATGAGCAGAGCAGTGGTCAGGTAAAGCCTTTCAACACAGCCAAAACATCAGGAAATCATCGGTGGAGTAACAAGCAGAGAACCACACAGCATCCCGCTACCTATCATCAGAGGCACTGCAGGGGTGCATGTATGCAATCACATGCCTGTAGTCTATTTTTGTGTAGCAAACAAAAACAAGCTTGAATTTAAATGCTTAAGCCCCTGTTTAGGAGAACAAGATGCCCACACTCAGTGTATCACTGTATAAGTGGAATCTCATGTGGCCATCTCACAATTAAACAGATATAACTCACAGGCACGTGGTCAAAAACATTGGGACAGCGGGTGTACAGATGTATCATATATAGCTGATTTGAAAACTGAGAACCAGACATTCGCCAGGAGTGACCCTGAAGCTGAAGAGTCTGTGCTTGACTACTTGACCTCGACATTGTGGAATAATCAAGAGACCAGGAAGAAAATGATAGCAGAGCTAATAAGACTGAGGGTCAATCATCCAGCAGTAAAATATAGTGTGCAGTATTGTAGCAGCTGAGGCAAAAATGTCAAGCCGAAATAACTTTCTACCTGCAGACACTAAATACACAAACAGAACCTTCCCTATTAATCCTGCCTGTACATTTAATGTCATCAACACTGTCATCTGTGCTGGAAACTGAACTCTTCCACCTCTATTCATTCAAACTGACTGGCTGAAGGGTGTGTTTCTTTCTCCACAGTCATTTGTGTGTGTAGTGCTTTTGTTTTATGTAGCTTTCTTCATGCTCTGTCTCCACATCCTGATGAGACAAACCTCGCTGCCAGGACAACAGAGTTTATATTAAATCATGTAATATACAAGAAAGGGCACGTCTCTTTTGTTTGCCTGCATGTGAAAAATGTTAAAACAAAGACTGTTAGAGTTTTCCTGAAGTGAAACACTTTGATCAGGTATCTAATGAGCTGCTGTTGACATGGCTTTGAGAGAGATGTTCCTTTAAGTGTCCAATGATATTTCCGAGTAAGAAGCTTTGTGCTTTTCTAAGACCTCAGCTAATCTAGGAGCGGTTGTCTTTTCTTTGACAGGAGAAGAAAAGGTTTTTCATTATTACTCTGATCTGCAGTACATTTCTTCTATAAATGGAGTTTGTGGACAGTAAATCTGTTTTAAAAATATTATTTCATTTGTGTGAATAAAAGAGAAAAAAAAGCACTTTCATTAATAGAGTCCACACAAGAATGGACATGCTTAGCTTAGACACTTCAGGGGTGGGCAGATCTTAAGTAACACGCACGTATGCACACACACACACACACACACACACACGTCTGTATCTACTATTTTAGTCATCTTAAGTGCCAAAATGAGTTTTGCTGCCTCTGGGTAGGTGTTGAGACAATCAAACCATGCAGGGATTAAAAAAGATTAATACACAGTGCAGGAAATTAAACTTCAGCGACTTTAACGATATTCATGAGTAGAGCTCACTTATTCACTTCAGGCAGGCACTTTAATAAGCAAAGAATACAGTAAGGAACCCAAATGCTATCAATCAACCAAACTGATATGCAATTTGAGTTGCAAATTTATAAAAAACGCCAGGCTCCTTTTAGTTAGATGCCAAAATATGTTCTCCACCTTCCAACTGTTGCCTGCATAAATGAGTATAGTAGATCCAATTTTACTTCAGTAATTTCAGGGTTTTTTGCCGGTGTTTTTAACAAGTTTTTAATTTACAAAGCATCAATATTTTTCATGATTATTTGAGGAATTTTGCCTTAGTGAGACAGTTGATAGTGGAGAGCAACAGGAAACATGTTGAAAGCCAAAGGAAGATGAAATGTGAGTTAAGTCTTGCAGCAGGACACTTGAAGGTCCAATGTTACAGGGAAAAAAAAGATCTAACAGCAAGGCAGAAAATAAAGAGGCAAAACAAGAGCTACAAACTCCAAAAGGTAATTCAGTGACCTAGATATTAAAGCTTTTCTGCCATTTCGTTCTCCCTCGCCTTGTCCAACCATCATATTGAGTTAAGGCAAGCATTATGCTGGGAAGACTATTTGTTTAGGTGAGGAGCAGCCGCAGAGCTAATATGAGCACAATTTGCTCAGCAGGTCACAGGCGCAGAGTGGAGGAAGTAAATGAGGCAGTTCTGCCCCCTCGGGTGCAGCCCCTGCCTCATACATCACTGGATGTTTTATTCAATACAGCCAGGAAGGCTCTATGGCAGGTGCCCTGACTGTGGGGGCGCCTGCCCTGCTGTAGGGGCCCATATTACATTCAGCGAGCTGCCTGTCTGCAGGGCTGCTGGAGAGAGAATGACTGGAGCCAGTGAGGAAGATACATTTTGAGGATGCTTGTAGTCTAATGATAAAACATACTGTGTGCAGCATTTTCACTGCACAGTCAGCATAATGTGTAGGCTTATTTATGTGCAGTGTGAGCGATGAAGTTAAATATTGCAAAGCAACCGCGGCAAACCATAAGGCTCAAAGTTCACACGAGCCAAAACTTTTATCAGCCAGCATTCATATTCAAATAAAACGTGGACAGTTACATTCAAGATAATCAGACTTCTCTATTTGCATTCAAGGCCTGGGCTGCAGGGGACACATTTGCTGAAGAATTCACAGGACAATGACAAATTGCCTCCAGACCTCAATGCAGCACAGAGCATCATCCATGTCGCCGAGCACAAAGTGAAAAGTTTTACAGTGTTACGCACACATCTCCGTGAATTTTATGAGTTCCTCGACAAGGCAGTCACAATATGCAAGACACACTGTAAAGAGAGATTGTATGTCATTAACGCTCCACGGTGAAAAATCACTAATTGCAGCAGACAGTGGAGTCACCCTCCCCACACGCAGTGACGCACGGGGGCGTACAGATGAAAAATTCGCACCTTTTGCTCCGAGCCGCAACTCTTCATAGTCCCACATATTCCTGCCTGTGGTGCCTGCGGTGCAATACCCTCGACAATACACTTAATTGCTACCCATACTTGAAAAGACCAATATTACACATCAAAGCAGTTCCTGAAGCCATTCGGGAGCGGCTCTCTAACAAGTCGATTTTTACAACACTTCCTTTATTGTGGGTCACGCATGGAAACAAAGGGTTTAAATCTGAGACATCGTTATGTGAGCAGCATCCTGGGAAAAGGGAGCATTTACAAACATTCGTTATTTTCTGCTGTTCCTCTGTTTACCATCCCAAAGGGATTCAGCGAGTCTCTGACAGTAACTACGTTAATGGTTACAAAGAATGACCCGAACCATTCTGAATCCGCAAGACATCTGCAAGACTTAGAGGAAAAGAGATTTACCATAAAATATATTTACCATAAATTGCTCCGTAGTGCAGACTAGAACTCCATGCAGGTCGTAGCATTCACTGAGCAATCTGCCTCATACTTCTGTGGTCCAAATTAAAAAGGATTCATTCTGTTCTCCAAAATCCAGCAGCCGCTTTGTCGATGTCAAATGTTGATTAAGTTTATCCTCCTCTTTCGATGGTATGTAAATATACCGGTAACCCTGCCAATTAGATTCCACACTCTAGCCTCTAGCGTGCAAAGTTAATAAGCTTTGCCTTTTTTTTCGACTCGGCTGCCAATTTTGGTCGAGGGCAAAAGCGCAGGTCGGCAATATCAGGAGCGTCCTCGGAAGAATTGCGCACCAAGTGCGCTTCGGGTTTTTAATGTTTAGCCTCTGGAACACAGTAAAAGGTCCTGGTTGCTCTTCTTCTCGTTTGTAGATACCTCCAAACAACAGAAGTGCTGATCGAAAGACTGGATGGTTGAACTGCTACGCAGAATTCCAAAATCCACCGCTGTTACGCATGGGTTTAAAGTGGTCCGCCTGCTCGCTATAGACGACCTCAGGTGAAATATATCATGCAAATGTTAGTAATATTATCTAGGCAATATTGTGTGAAGGTACCCTGAAAGAAATCAAGGCTGGGCCAAAGCAGCTGCCTGAAATATCCTAAACTGATGCGATGTAAAATCCCGGTGATCAGCCTCTGCTCCGTCCGTCACTTTCTCCGTGGTGTCGGCAGCCTCTCCGAGATGTCTTGCCTCCCGATTCAGACTTAGATTTCCAGCTGAGGCTGTGGAGTAACCTCGATAGCAAAGCTCCGAGATGCTCTCTTTGGTGTATTAACCAAATAAGACAGGGTTACGTCTGAATAAAGAGCTAGCTGCTTCAGGCAGCTCCGGGATGCGGTCCTGCCCTTGTGCCGAGCTGCCGAGACTGACAATAACCCGGAACGCTGCAGACTGTCAGGCTGCACAGACCGCCCACCGACCAATCACTGTACTCAGGGAATAGAAACATTCCCACGGGTTGGCCAATCATCAGTAATTGAGGACTGTTACCATAGAGATGCTCGGCGTCCAAGCGTCTGAAACCACGTTGTTTATTCGCGGAAAAAGAAAAAAAAACTGTCTGATATAAATTGCCGTGGCAGAATGCAGATTGAGATCTTTAATCACTCTTGTATTCTTATCAGCAGCCTAGTTAAAGGTTAAAGGCAGCGTCCCTTAATGGGAAGACCTGGACTCAAACCTGCAGGCATCTGCTTTGCAAACGTGCCCTTGAGCAAGGCACCGAATCACGTGAAGCTGCAGGATTGCTGCTCTGTGGCTGATCTACAGGGAGACATGAAGCATTATTATGCAACCAGAATACAATTAACTGTGATTAGCATGCAAAATCAATCTACTGTTTATGAATTGGCGACTGTAAAATGCTATTTAACTTAATTGGTTTGAAACTCCTATAGGACAAATATTCCATGCAGATAATAAGCCTGGCAATAATATCAAAAGTTTGGCAGCTGTGTGATCATCCAGGTACAACCTCAGAGACACACAGTTTATTGTCCTTTATGAGCTCAGATTTATTAAGTAATCTCACTGTGGGATGCATCACATGCACTTACTACATAATGTCTCTGGATATTGAGCTCCTATAAGAATGCATAGGGTGTACTTTAAACCCACGACTACCTCAAAATGTTGAATTACCTCAATATATTTCAGCAGGACAGTCTTTTAAAAAGTATGACATATATGTGACTGTCTACTTAACTTTGAAGAATTCCTTCACTGACACCTCCAGCTTATGAGTCACAGGAAACCTTGCAAAACACCTATTTTTTGCAAAATGTCATTACAACAATGGGGAAGTGGAAGGTTTACTTTGACAGAGGCCCTTAGTATTCTTCTTCTTCTTGCCAACTGTGTCCGGTGCACACAGACCCCGGGACACACAAAGGCAGTACAAGCAATCACACATCATGGACTCTCATAATAAGCTGACGCTGGGAAGTGGGTGATGCAGCACTCAGCTTATGCCAGTGCTGATAAGAGCCTGAAAGTATTACCTCGGTCTGGCAGCCCGCTCCAAGAAATCCATCCTGAGCCAGGTCATCAATTCTGCCCTATCTGATTGCTCACCAATGCCTGGCAGCTCCATGTCGCTGTCCTGGCTTCTGCCTTTGAAATTCTCTCTATGACTTGCACTTTCATGCTAGTTCTTTCACAGAAAAATAGGTACACACTGTATGTACGTGTGGGGTCTTTTATGTGGTCTTACAGCTACATGACAGAAAACATAAAACAGTGAAAAGTGTGCCCGGGAAGGTTAAGTTTCCAGAGACTTCGTCAATCCCTTAAATGTATTCACTGCAATCACATCTCCCTCTCACTGCTGCAGTGGACCTATAGAGCATACATTAAAGCCTGTGGAGTTCAATCATATCACCTATGTGGTGTGGCTGCACAATCAGACAGATGAACAATTAATTGAAAAATATTCAACCAGAGCTGTGTTGTGCTCCAGTGAGGCAGGCGGGCAGGCAAATAAGCCATTTGATTAGCTGATAAGCAGATGACTCAACAAACATTCAAGGCATGTTTACTGTGGTTTGATTAGAGTGCGCCCAATACGCAGAAGATTGGACACAAATACGTTGTGAAAACACTCAGCTGTTCCAATCCCCAAGGCAGCATGAGGGCACATAAAAACAATGAATTATTTATGGGGGAGACTAGCGAAATATCACAGTGGATAATTTTCTGTGGGCTATATTAAATGCAGTTTTAAAAATAATATGTCTCAGTCTGTGCATTTCCCAGAAATCATTCCCAATGACAGGATCTAGAGCTTGGAGATTGGATATGAAATCACATTAGATATTTCCCTGCCAAAAAACCTATGAGTGTTTTACTAAAACACCAAAGCAAGGGTTATTCACATGCTAATTGGGCTTCCGTCTTTCTTCGTAAATATGATCAAAGGGTATTTGCTTTGTTTCTGTTTTAGGTATTAGCTCTGGTTTAAAATGAAAGACCTCACTATCAAGGCAAGCCTTTAGCATGCCTCATCTGAAAGAGCGTTCACAATGCCAATAAATCCAGGTTCAGCTTCAGTAAAAACCTCTGCAGCTTCTGTTCGAATGGGGCATCTCATAAATAAAGCTCTTGTAGGCCCCATCCAGAGCTAACATTAGTGTCTGTCTCTGAGCTGAAAGCCTTACGCTGTTACAATTTGTTCCTGAAAGTGAACTCAGTTTAATTGAGCAAAGTTCAAGTCTCCACAAACAGCAAAGTAACAGAAAAAAAAAATCGATGGCAGCAGAGGCATGGAAAAAAGAGATAGCATTGATTTATCTGCCATTGATTCGTGAGGATCGCTGCATTGTGCCCTCCGGGGGTGAAATGCACGCTGTCTGCCAACTGATGGGGATGAATCTGAAAAGGTGTCAAGTGGTTAGAGGACACAGAGGTGGAGGATGAGATCGAGGGCAGCCAGAGGTGGCAGGGGAGGAAGAGTAGACTGGAGAGGGAGCAAGGGCATGAAGTATCAAACAGAAGAAGGCGGTAGACGAAAGGCTTGATAAGAGGGGATAATGTTGCGAGGATGACACCACCACTACGTGGGGTTGAGTCTCAAAAGTGTGGCGTTAAATGTCTTTGACAGAAGCGAGACGAGATCAACATGAAAGCAGAGAGCTGAGTGAATGCACAAAAGGCCTGAAGCTAAAACCATCATATAAACCAAGACACCAGTTAAAACCAAGACCTCTCTGTCAGTACCAACATCTAAATGAATATAACATAGCTGACCCCTATTTCAACACATATAAGCACCACAGTAGGCCAACTTTAGTTTATTCAGTGTGAAGTCAAAGGCTGTTGGCTACAATAATACTGTATGAGTAAGCATATATCAAATCCCGCTGTTGCAAGTGCTTGACAAGACAAGCATCTTTTGCAATATTTTAAGTCTCAGCAATTGGCAAATAGATGTCTCCCCAGAGACTTTATACTGACAGCCAAATGTTGTTGAGAAGAGGGGAAGCCAGGACAGAGATCAGAGGCCAGAGAAGCCACATAGACCCAGACAAAGAAGTGTTACTCCTGAACTTTGGTATTTTTACAACATCCCCCTGTCTCCTCTGTGGCAATCTCACGTTCACACTGAAACTAAAGGAGAACTATGTGTTTGCTATTGCGGTCCCTTGCTTGTGGAGCAACCTTCAGAGACGTGTTTGGTTGGTATTTTAGAAAAACCAATGAGCCACATTCTTTCCTATGGCCTTGCTACAGTGAAGACGGTGATATTTCAATTGCTTTTAACTAAGTTTGGTCTATTTGGTGGTTTTTTTTGTCAGTGCTTTGTGATAAAAGTGCAAAAGGATTATAATTCACTTGACAGAAAGTCTGTCACTTGTTTATGTTTAAAAGGGACATTGTGTTCCTGAAACAGTTTTGGTTGAGAGTGATTCTCTGTGAAGGCCTTTGTAGCCCTGTTTTTTATTCAAGGTGCAGTTTAAGTGAAGCTGACTTGACTTGACACAACGATTGTCACATGTTTATGTCTTAGAAAGCTGTTTTCTTGAACAGTGTTTTGGTTCAACCCTCAAAGGCATCTGGTTTCCTGTGTGTGACCAGTCAGAGATGTCTTCCTGAGACACCACCCGGAGCCTCAACATACACACGAGAGACTGTTTGCAGACAGGCTTAGGTTGAGGTTATGTGGTTTGCTTTATGTTTGGGATGAGTGTGCTTTTGGGTGGTGACTGTTATTGCTATTCATGGGCCCATTTCATTAAAAAGCCAAATCAAATGACTTCAATAGAGTAAAAAGAGTGTGAAAAGCAGAAACTGAACTGCAAATGAGAAATAGCAATTATTTCCCAATATGAAATCTACTTAAAGATACATGCAGATGATAAGAGATAAAATGTTGTTTATTTCACATTGTCAGGTCTTTACATGTCTCCATTAAACAGAAGCATACAAGTGAGTGAGTGTGGGAGGAGGTCAGGCACAGTGTGACCTCTGTCACACCTGGGCCTGTTAAATCTCATGGCAGCTTTTCCTCCTCATAAAAACTGAAGACACACAGGAGGAGACGCCCAAACTGTTTGAATTTTCTACGTCTAATGCAGGAAGTTATGTCCCGGTAATTGCAAGACTTTGAAGCAGAAGTTCTTACATCTAGCTGTCAATATCCTGTAAGAAAATAAAACACTTTTAACACCTTTTCCTAGTGTTTGTCAGCACCTTTATGCTAGCTGCAGGAAAAGACACACTTGCCAAATACCAACCTTTACTTCTTTAAGGTCCAGTGTGTGAGGTTTTATTGGCAGAAATGGAATATAATATTTATAGGAATGTTTGCACTAGTGTATAATCACCTGAATATAGAAATCAGTGTGTTTGTCACCTTGGAATGAGCCCTTCATATCTACAGATGCCACAGGTCATGTGAATAATAGTTTACACCATTCATTTCATTGTTAAATCAAAATATAAAACAACAACATCCTACAAAACCTGAATTTGAGTACCAGAAATCAACAAATTAATTGATGCTGCTGTCTATCAAGGAAGCGACTCACATTGTGTATTTCCGCTGTTGTTTTCACTCCTAACAGCAGCTGGTTAAGGCAGGTCAGCTATTCTTCCTGTTGTTTGAGAGCTTCACATGTTGTATCTCCCCTCTCTCCATACAAAGCAGAGTCAGCTCAGCACTGGTGTCTGTGACAGGTGAGGGGCCACTGAATGCACTTTGTATGAGTAAAGCTCTACTTTAATGAAATGCACCCAAGAGAACAGCTCGAACACACGTATAAGCAATATGTGTGTGTAAAACCTGAGTACAACATAAAAGAGGGTCAATTTAAAATCACAGGTTTCCACCCATACTCTTGACTTACGTT